CCTCTCCGGGTAAACGGAGTACAGCACGCAAAGCACTTCGTGCACCCATCACTGTGACACCCACGCACTCACTTCGCAACCGCAGGTCGGTGCCATTGTTTTTAGGAAAAAGTAGAAGCTTTAAACGCAGATGATACGGTTTAAGGCATGCAAAAATTAGAATTCTTGGTTCCCAGGTTCACAACGAAACTGGTAGGACGAATTTATTAGGGTATTTGGATGACAAAGGCTAGATTGCACCTCACTTGGCACTATAATCTTCAATAATCGTTTAACTTGAATTTCCTATACTAACAAACTTATTCCTACAATAAATCCTATTCTACGCATTAGAAATTTTTTGAAAGATCAAGGATAATTTCTTATTTCCTAGCAGAAGAACCAGCTCTCCATTGAGTCAGAATATCATGTGTTTTTCCAGGACTAAAACGACACCATCGACTACCTCGACAACTTCTACAACAACCCAATCAACTACCGTAGCCATCACAACCCAAGCCAAAACGACTCAGAAAACTACAACGATTAAATCAACTCCTACAACCACACTTCTATCAACTACTACTTCCACTACTACTAAGCCCACTACTACCACGAAAGCATCGACTACGCCAGTTACGGTAAGCTTGATGACCTTAACTATAGAATTAGAAAACATTAGCAGCCTAGGAGGCACCCTATCAGATTACTTTACCTATCTACTAACCCTATCATTCCAGACAACCACACCCAGTACAACTTCCACTTCTACAACTACCAGAGCAACCCTAAACCGATCTCCTGTCATACACACAGCTGCACCACCAGCACCTCCAACAAAGTGAGTCTCATTCTTCAGAAAAAAACATTTGAAAATAACTTGCTCTCAATTTTAGGCCAGCAGAACCCAAGAAACCAGTGAAAGGAGCTGTCTCTTTCGATATTTACCATAATGGTCAACCAGTTGAGGCAGTTGTCGTGGGAACGAAGATTACATTGTCGTTCGCTCCGCTTTATGCTATTCCACGTAGGTTTTTTAAGGTTATTCAGTTTATTTAGTTAGTTACCCAGTTTTACTTTTTCTGCAGCTGAGTACATGTCGGTTCGTGAGTGCCAAGTAGAACCGATTGATTCCAAATATGAATGGGAACGAGAACCATTGCCGATCATTCGGGAAGGATGTCAAGCTGATCTTGTGGGATTAGTGTGCCCACCTAAGCAATCGGAATTTGGGGTAAAGGTAAGTTTGAAGACGCCGGTTAGCTTCTGAAGAAACTTTAGATTCATATAATTTCAGGTCTCAGTAGAATCATTCCGCTATCAAAGTACCCCATATGTACAATACTCCTGTCTTATACGAATTTGCCCATTTGCTCCATGCCCACCGGTAGGAGTTTGGTCTAATTCGACTTTTGTTCGCGCTCTTTCTATAAAAATTTCAGGCAAACTGCTCGCCCGTCGAAGGTTGTCCTAGAGATAAACGTTCTACCCGAAGTTTGAGCTTGGAAGAGATCCGACGGGCTTTGGAAGCCGATCCCAAGTTAGCCAGTCAGATTGGACTTTCTCCACACGCTCTAGCCAATCGACCTGGAAATAGCGGTAAAAATAAACCTAAAATCTATGTTTAATTTTTCTCTCAAATTCTGCTGTCATTCTCAAAATAGAGTGGGGTGGGAGGGGACTTGCCTACGCGTCGCGGTTGCGAGCGATTGCAAAACTCATACTTTCCATTTCCAAATATTGCTGATATCTAGTCAACACGAAATCATAGTCATTCGAAACTTTCTTTCACCTCATCCCACCGCTACGTTTTCTTTTTCAGTTGAAAGTCAACTTATGGCGCTAGGCGGAGACCACACTGTGAAACGCCGTCTTGTTGTCGTAAATTCAGAAGATCAGCTCAGATACTACGTACGAACTGGTGATGTATCCTAGAGTGTTTTAACATTTCCAACATCTACTCTTTACATGGTAACGAAAATTTTGGGTATGTTGAGCACTTGATCTGCGATAATATTGGCCTTTGTTTGTGGTCATTGCATACTTACTCTTGTGATGCCTAATAATTTTGACTTTCTTAATATGTACATATCCGATTGTGCCAATTTTCGTCTCTCCATTTATAAATATTTCTTCCTAAGAAGATTGTTGAAGTCGTGATACGTGTTTGTCATGCACTTATGTGAAGAACACTTCATCTCTGAATCAAAAAATGTACATTTCCGAAAGTGCAAAATGAAGTATGCGTGGAATTGGAGTAGGACACGCCGAGTCATTAACAAGAATCAAATCCACAGGCGTCTTTTCTTTGAAGGGGGCTTATTTATGTCGAAGGTGTCGCCAACATTGATGAGCTCCTTTACTTGTACAGTACCCAAGGTTATTCTTCGTCAAAAAACGCATTTTTTTCGGATAGCTAC